ACTGGGTGGAGGATGGTAGAATGCTCTAGACCAAAGATGCTCAAAGGAGGAACATTTTGCCCCCCAGCGGGTATTGACAATACTTAGAGACATTTTTGGTTTCCCCCCATACGCTGCAGGGAGGGGAGAGGATGCTGGGAGCACCTAGTGTGCGGAGGCAGGGAAGCTGCTAACTGTCTTGTAACACACGGGATACTCTTACCCCTCACCACACCACAAAACACATCAGGCCCCTGAGAACAGCAGTGTCACTGTTGAGAGACCCTGACCTGGTCTCAAAGAGCCTTTGAAGACTTAACAACCAATTGCAATGCACATTGCCCACCTGAATCCTGACACCACACTACACATACAAGAGAGAAGGCAAGGCAGCTATTTGAAAAGGATAGGATGGAAAAATGCTTATGTGGGAAAGGCTCACAGTACACGGCTAAGAGAAAAAATGAACTGGATGTAAGGAAGTTTGTATGGCATGACCTCATATTACTGAAAAGGAGAAAGAGCTACGAAAACAAGTCATTCTGTGTTTGCTGTAAACATAAGGGTGTATGTGTGTGTAAACAGACACACACATTAATGCAGAGAAAACCAATTAGAGAATTAGTCACCAAAATATTAATAGTGTTGGTATTTCTAAGTTGGAGATCATAAGTGATTTATGTGATCTTTTTTCCCCTATTTTCTGTGTTTTCTAAAATGAACACATATTACTGTTTTTAACCAAGGGGAAATAGGATGGTTTTAGAAAGAAAGTTCTTAGTCTGGGTGGAAGACCCTTACAGCAATCACCTTTTGCAGAGCAGAGCTGAAATGGCTCCTCAGACATCTCCCTTGTGCCCAGAGAACCTTGATGGAGATGGTGACGCTGAACCAGAAACTAAAGGAACTGGGGCAGAGATCTGCTGTGTCATTCTCTCTCCAGCAAGATCCAAGAATGAACCAAAGGGAGCATGAGGAATGGGCCTGACAGCAGCCTCTGTCTTTCCAAGCGTGGGAGGTGGGTCTCCCTCAATGGGAGCTAGGCAGAGATGTATGTCTGGTGAGCCTTAAGGAAAGTGGCTATGGGCCAACACTGGACAAGAGAAGCCCTGGCCGCCATTCCCCTCTGTGTGCCCTGATCATATTTGGAAAAGTTGCAGGAAGTTTTCTGTTCTCTGATCCTGAAAAACTAGAATATAGGGTCTTCTCTTTTTAAGCTTATCCAGTGTCCCCGTGGTTTTACTTGACTAAACCCAATGCAGTATTGGTTTCTGAACCCCCAACAGTCCCCAACAGTGAGTAAACAAATGAAAGCATCTCCCTTGTCTGCTACCCAAGTTCCTAACGAAGCTCTTGAGACAAGCCCTAGGGTTCTCTCATCCTTAGCTCTTGTTACCCCAGAGGGATTTTCAAAAGGATGGTCTCAGGAGACCTGGCACGAGGGATTTGCTTCCCTTGGGGATAATAAATAGTCAAAGCTCCTAAAATCTGGAGTTTAAGAGACTGCATTTTTTCCAGGACTACTTCTCAAGCCAAAGGAACCAATGCCCTCAACTTCAAGAAATATAGCAATAATTTGAGGTTTTCTCTGATACTAGAGAAAGCTGAATTTTCCTTGCTTTGTAGGTTTTAGCTTCCCTTGTAAATGGCTCTTGAACACAAGGTATTTTTACTGGCTTCCTCTGAATAGATTGAGCCCTTTCAGTGACTTTTAAAAATCACTATCTGGAAAGTGATTCCTTCTTCCTTTCACCAAGGTCAGAAGCAGTGAGTGGCTGTGGGCAGAACTAAGTGAAAATGGAATGCCATGTGTGTTTTCGAAATTCTTATTATTTTCCCTCTAAGTTTTTCATTATTTTTTGGTTGTATTGATTCTCATGCCATTAATATTATATTTCTTCATGCTCATCTTGCTGTGGTAATGGATTCAAAGACATGAAATTTAGCAGAGACATGATAATAATCTTCCACTATCGAGCTGAAAAGGAAATAGAAGGTAGGAAAATGTGGGGAAGTGGCAAGTTGCAGGGAGACAGATGTTGAGTCAATAGAAAGTGATATTTTCTAAGAATCAAGTCTACTCAACAATAGAATAGATGATAGTATATCTATATGGATCTGTATAGTGGGAAAGTGTGCACCATTGGTAATGAAGAGATAGATCCACTCCACTATTATCAAGAGTATTCAAGATATAATAGTAAGTGAAAAAAGCTAGTTGTGAATTGGTATGTGCAGTTTCATTTCATTTGTGTAAAATTGAAATGATACGGAAATATGCACAATTGTACTTAGAAAATTTCTAGACAGAAATTTTAGAAAGACACAGACATGAATCATTTTTACCCCTGGACCAGAGAATGCAAAGCACAGGAAAAGAACTCTAACGTTCCCATTTATATCCTTTTGTACAGATGGCTGTTTTTCCCCGAAAGCATTTTTATAATATAAAAAGCCTGGTTTTATTTTTTAGGTAAACTTGGTATCTTTAAAAAAAAAGAGAGAGAGAGAGAGAGAGGATGCTAACTTGTAAGATAATGAATTTTCAATCATTGGAAACACTGAAGCAGAATTTGGGGGACTATTTGTGAGGAATGCTTGCTTTTAAAATTACCTCCTAGTACTAAGGTCCTGTGATTCCATTATATTAAAGGACTTAACGCCACCAAGCACATGGGTTTTCCCAGCTTGCTTCCCACTGGAAAGACTTGAATAATGAAATAGATAAGATTAACCCCTTGCCCAAGATTGCTTGTCAGGTCGAAGCAGAACATGATTACTCTAGAAGGAAATATTTTGACTTTTTTTTTCAGGGTAGAGGGATATTTCTGGCTAAAGATCCAGAATCCAAGAAAACAGCAAGTGGTGTAAAGTATTGTTCTTCTTGGTGACCTGGATTCCACAGAAGTAGGCTGCCATTTTGTTTCTGCTGTCATGACCTTACTATCATGGTGTTAACACTCACCAGGTTTTTGCCGTCTTGATGAGTCCTCGTTTTCCCGAGGGGGTGATGAGAGAGGAGAGGGAGGCACAAGCTCAATTCGATCTTTTTTCTTCTATATCCTTGCTTATCTTCCCAACTCCCTTAGCGGAGGTAGGATTGGGAGGTCGGATTGATTTTCCAGTTACATAAGATTGGGGTTTTATCTTGTTCAGTAACACATCATGCATCTCAGTTAAACAGCAATGGTTTCAAGACTAGCCTATCACCACATCTCAAAAGAAAATGAACACATAATTTGCTCTCCATTTCCCCCTATAGTTTGAAAATATTTTATATTTTTCTATTCCTCAAAATCTTTAGTAAGGAAATTCCAAAATCTGCCCTCACTTAGCTGCTTGCATCCCACTGTGGTGATAGTCAGAATTTTTATTTTGTCTCTATTTAAAATTTTAATATTTTGTTCATCATAGATTTTTGCATCAGCTTTTTAAAAAAAATACTGCATCAAAATCGTGTTCATCTTGATCACTGAGTGTTTTTGGTGCTCCCCTAAATGTTGCGTTCAAGATGAGTGCCTCACGTGCCATACTTCACTTCCAACACTGTTCAGAAAGGTTTTCTTTTTCCAACTACAATCTTTCTTTAAAAACCAAAGTTAATTTCCTCTGGATCTGGCTGTTGGGTGCTCAAATTTCTATGACATTCCTGTTTGCAGACTAACTTGGTCTTACATGATACTGTCAGCTTTCTCTTCTCCAAGGTAAATTAACCCACTACATTTACCTTTTCTCTTTCCTTTTCTCTTCAATCCTCACTGCAGCCTCATTATGGAGTCTCATTGTAAGAAGAATTTAACAGTTATTTTTCGGTCTGTTTAGAAGAGAAATAATTAAGAAAATCTGTATTATATAGGGAAGATAAAAAGAAAAGCCATTTAAGATTCTCCATTCACTATCCAGAAAAAAATATTTTTAGCATTTTGGTATATTTATTTCCAACCCATTTTTAATGGTGTGTGTACCGTTCCATGTTTCCCTTCATTGTTTATTCCTTCTTCTTTTCTTTTTATTTTTGAAAAATTATGGACTATCTATCTATCTACCTATCATATTTTTCCATGTCAGAACATTAGATGTTTAATAGCTCCATAGTTCCCATCAGATGGATATATTATAATTCATTATTCCTTTACTTATTTACATTGTTTTTGGTATTCATTATTATAAATAATATCATAAAAGCTTCTTACACATATATCCTGATACATCTCTCTGATTATTTCTTTAAGTAATTGGCAGCAGAAGTATTAAGCCAAGGAGAACGGACACTCATGGTCACTAATATGCTAATTTTTCATTTACTTATCAAGGTAAACATACTAAAATTTTTCCGGTTTCCCCAGTGTTTTCCAGTTTTTCCAATTTTTTTTCCCAATGTAATCTCATTCCCAGAGTGAGGAAAATCCTTTAATTCTTTTCAATAAAAGCCACAGGGAAAAAAGTGTCTTCTTTCTCCCCTGTTTTGTAGCCATGATGCTTCTTCAGGCAGTTGTGGTAAAGGCAATTCACACTGGCCTTAAAATGAGAAGATTGGATCTATGACTTACTAATTTTGGGCAAACCAGCGAACCCTAGGTGTCTTAGATTCCCCATCTGCAAGATGAAGATAGTTATTGAACAGATGGGATTGATGTGCTGTTAAATAATACATATAAACACTCTTCATAAACCAAAAAGTGCCATAAGGAACTATCCTGGTTGTTATTATTGTTATTATTATTAAACTTTTTTTTTAAATGAGAACTTGTTGATCTCTAAAACCCCCCAGATAGTGAGAGAGGGTATGCAAACTTGTTTCCCCAGAGGTACAGTTTATTATTCTAAAGAAATTAGAAAAGAGAGCTCAGAGTCTAGTCATGAGTCAGACCACCTGTGAAAATTCATGTCCAAGCACCAGCTGCAAAACACGAAAATACACACAGTGCAGGAGAACCAACACTTAGTAACTGACCTACACGCACAAGGCGTGCATCGACAGGGCCCGGCTGGTCCTGAGAGGTCCCTCCGAGCAAGAGGAGGCTCCGTCAGTACCCAAAAAAGAGGGGGAATGTGTCTGGTTAAAAACTACATTCGGGAGGGCAGTCAGGTTTGAAGCAGTTGAATGATTTGTGAAAAGGGTTCACGAAAAGATGTAGACAGGTGGAACAGGGACAGAACAAACACTCAGGTCCCCTCAGAGCAGAGAGCGTTGTCCCAGTTAGCAACTCGGAAGGTAAGATCTTTAAGAGGATGATCAAAATTGTGACTTCAACAAAGTGGAAGAGGTTGGCCAATTTGTTTTAGGTAAATAAAAATCTGAAACTGTAATTCATGAGAAAATTCTTCTCAAAATTATGCATTTTCTAATTCTTTAGCTCCAGTTGCCTCCAAACACCCATGTTCTGGCTCATGAGGAAACCTCTTCCAAACTAGCCCAGGTATCCTTCCTGCTACCCTATCCCATCCGTTTCTTCTTCTGTACTTTTATACAAAACTCCTTGTACATGCAATTGCTTCGTGATTATGTTTTCTGCCTTTTCCCTCCTGGGGCACAGGAGGACCCATGCACCTGACACATCCCGTGGAGCAGGTCCTTGTTGCCCCTTCTGGTCCTGAGCAGGCGTGGGGCACAGGCATGTTCTGACTCACTGACGGGCCTGAGTCTCCATCGTATTGACCCAACAATTCATCCATGAAGACCAAGAACCACACAGTGGTGAGTGAATTCATTCTCCAGGGGTTTTCCAGCTTCCGAGAACACAAGGTCATCCTCTTTGTGATATTTCTTACGTTGTACCTTTTAACTCTGGCTGGCAATGTCATCATTGTGACCATTATCAGCTTTGCTCGTCATCTCCACACACCCATGTACTTCTTCCTCGGTGTGCTCTCCACCTCCGAGACCATGTACACACTGGTCATTGTACCGCGGATGCTCTGCAGCCTTGCAGGTCTTAGCCAACCCATCTCCTTGGCTGGCTGTGCCACCCAGATGTTCTTCTTCCTCACCTTGGCCATCAACAACTGCTTCCTGCTCACGGCCATGGGGTACGACCGCTACGTGGCCATCTGCAACCCCTTGAGGTACACAGTCCTCATGAACAAGAGGGTGTGTGCCCTGCTTGTTTGGGGGGCTTTGAGCTTTGGGCTGTTTGTGGCCATAATTCAGATTTCCTCTGTGTTCAGGCTGCCCTTTTGTGACAGAGAAGTGGCCCATTATTTCTGTGACATCCGCCCAGTTATGAAACTCTCCTGTGCAGACACCACTCTACATGACATAATTAATTTTATCATCAGCTTGCTTGTTATTGTGATGCCCATGGGGCTGGTCTTCATCTCCTACATCCTCATCATCTCCACCATCCTCAAGATCCCCTCTGCCCAGGGCCGGAAGAAGGCCTTCGCCACCTGCGCCTCCCACCTCACGGTGGTCATCGTCCACTATGGCTGTGCCTCCATTGCCTACCTCAAGCCCAAGTCCGAAGATACCAGGGATCAGGATCAGCTGATCTCAGTGACCTACACCGTCATCACCCCCCTGCTGAACCCTGTGGTGTACACCCTGAGGAAAAAGGAGGTCAAGGATGCTCTTCACCATGCTATTAGCAAAAATCCTCTTGCCCTAGGATCTATGGTAGTTTGACACATAGCGTCACATATGACACATCCCATATCTCCCCAACAAAGGATTGCTACTCTGGGTATTTCATAATCTCGAAAAAAATTTGTTTTTTGATCATGTCATTCATTCTCTACCCAGAAAGAGTTGCAGAATGTGGTGGTAAGGCTGCAGTGAGGAGCCCAGAGTTTCCCTGACTTGAAGTTCATTTTCATCATCATGCTCCATGCCTTCTACTAATCTCAGAGGTTAACACCAGAGGAGGTGTCAGGTGTTGCTCGGAAGGTGGAGAGCTGGTAGGGAGTAACAAGCAAGAGGGTGGCTGATTGTTATCAGTTTTTGGTGGCAGGAACCTAGGCTGTATGACACCTATTTGAAGGGAGGAGTTGAGAGAGCAACCTGAGTGTCAGGTAGATCCTGAGCTCTGAAACGTAAAGAGAGCATGGCTGGTGCACAGGATGTTCCAGAAACACAGTCAGAACTACCTTCCTACTTATCATCACTTTCTCCTTTGGGCAGTGACAAGAGTAATAGACCCTGACATTCCAGAAGAAATATTCTCTGCTTTAACATTCTCACCTGCCTTGGAGACCCATGAAATTTTTTTTCCAATTTTATTGAAGCTCACATTAGAACTGTTTCCTTGGTGAGTCTCATATATTCACATGTTAGCAAGTAACTTGTCACATCTGGCAGCTGCATTTCCCTGCAGTTAGAGATGCTCTCTGTGGGGGTAATGCACGCGCTGTGCTGCGTTCACGAGCGTGGGGATATCTGAAGACCTTTTCTGAAATTAAATTTATTAACCCCACCTCCCACCTAACTCTGGCTGTCTCAGATCTGGATAATTAGCATATGTGGAGTCTGAGCAGAGACGCGTGTCTTGTCTTCACGCTCTTCATTTCTGCATTGCTGAACTCATTTTCTGTCAACAGTTGGGTCCTACTTTAAACTCTAAGTTTGAACACTTGTCTAAACGCAATCCTCTTCCTGCTCAAGGACAGTCCAAGTGTTCCCACTGAAGGTGCATTGAGAGTGCCTGTCGGACAAGCGACTTGGGATCCCTAATGGTAGAGGGGCCAAGAAGAGACACTTTCATGTTTATGCAGCATTACCTGAAAGAATAAAAGTTTTGCCTCCTCACAGCAGCTGCCTCCTTATTGCCCTTATCTGGGTTCCATGAGAGCACCTCAGAATCCTTTCTGAGCCTGGTTCAAGGGAAACACTCTCATAGGCCTACATCTTGGAAAACCCCAATGGAGATCCTCTCTTTGGGGGTCCCGCTCATTGTAGCAGCCCATTCCTGAAAGCCTCTCCCAGCAGTCAACCCATTTTATAGATTGCTGAATTTTTGCACACACAACCCCCATAGGATTTCTCACAGCTGCCCAGGGCTTTATAGGATTGGCGCTCATACTGAAAATAGTGTGTTCCCCTGAGTTCCTATCGTTTGATGCTGCAGAAAATTATGGTGTAATCTTCCCAAAGTAATATTTGCAACAGTAAAGATTGTGTATTAAAGGTCCACCCATTTTTTGTCTTTTTTAAAATATAGTTTATACCATCATAACAGAGCCAGAAAAAAAAATTAAGCCAATGCATTTAATTTCAAAGAGAGTGTGTGACTAATTCTCACTCAACGTAAATCATGTCTGAACAGAGTGATGCTTAAGTGCACACCTTGGGCTTAGTCACTGCATAGCCATGATCTTCCTAAGTCAGGGCCTGCCGGTTGAGGGGTTGCTACTGTGACATGGAGTACACATCTCCTTTTGGGAGAACATGTAATCCCGCAAGGACACATCCCATATCTCCCCAACAAAGCATTGCTACTCTTGTCCCAGAATATTCTTTGCCTCTGTCCCCCACACAGTACCCCTTGCTCACACCCATCCTCTCCGTGGTCTTTCCATCCTCCCAGAGTTCAGGATCCTGGAGCAGACTGCTTGCTGGCACAGATGTGGAATTGGGCATAAGGAGACGGGGGCTTTTGCAAGTGACTGTAGCATTCCCAGTGGACCCCATGTGCTCTCACCTGCTTTGTTGACAGAGAGAAGCTGCTCACTGTCCTTGGACTGGGTGCTGTGGGGGGAAAGGCCATAAGGGCAGGTGAGGCCTGTAGAGTCCTTCAGTGGCCTCTTCGCCCTGGGGATCAGGACTCCCCTTCACTAGGGACCAGAGGCTGCCTCCGAACAGAGTGTGTATATATATATGCATATAACACACTGGAGCTCACAGGGTGCCCGTGAGCACATCATCTCAGTCATTACCTAAGAAATGTTGTGTTAAAGCGCAGGCTTTGGTCCAGTTGTCCTTAGAAGAGGAAGTAAAGACGTCCTACGTCACCCTCCACTTGAACTGTCGCTGCAGATTTCATCTGTGCAGATAGCAAACACCAGCCATGGGGCATGAAACACCGCTGACTCATTCAGTGTGATTGATAACCCATGGAGCGCCCCCACCCCCCCCCACCGCTGATCACGCTCTGAGATGTCTCCCATGGGACCCTAGTGGCTGTGGTTCGAGGGCGTTATCGTGACTCTTCTGGAAGCATGGCTTGTCTGTGCTGGACCATCGCTCAGAGCCAGTGGACGCCTGAGGAGCGGAAGTGTGCCTGCCGTGCCCCCCCCGACCCCCCCTGTGCAGCTCTTGTGTTTAGGGCCACATTCCCACTGCTTACTTCCCCACGGCTGCAACATCCGCATCGTGGCATTACTTATCATCGACTCATTTCCTCTTAAGACCCCTGGGAGAGGCGGGCTTAACCATCATAAAATCAACTGTTTTTCTCTTGCTTAGGGAAGCAGATTTAACAAATATTATGGTCTAGAAGTAAATTAGGGAATAAGGAGTAACTTAATCAAGGGAGACACAGCCTAGAAACACTGTGAAGTCCCGAACTGAGTTAGTTTTGCTTCGTAGTAGGAAATGGGAAAACAGCATGAACTCTTCTTTCCTCAGATACAAGGTTTCTTAAAATGTTCACCCTAGACAAAGATTGAGAGAGAGGGAGAGCACCTGTGTGGGGGGAGGAGGAAGGAGGGAGAGAGCCCATATGCTTCAGTCAGTACCATAGGAATTAGGAGGATGAGGAAGTCTCTCTGATCTTATTATCTCCCTGTGTGTGATTTGTGACCTTGTTAGTGTACAAACCTGGGGCAAAACAGCCTGGTTAGCCCAAGAGTGACATTTTGAACATTCGATTACTGGTAGTGATATGATAGAGAAGGGGGGGGTGTCTCAAACCTGAGAAGATGAGGCTGTGCTTAATGGCAGGAATAGGAAAACAAAAAAACAAAAGGGTGACAGAATATTAATGCTTTGTTTTTGCTACTAATAAAAACTAACTTTCTATAACATTTACACATCACAAAGTGCATTTTCCCTTTAACCGATCTCACCCAATCTTCAAAGCAACTCTTGCAAGATCGATGTCATTTTTATCCCTATTTCATAGATGAAGAAACTAAGGATCAGGGTCCAGTGAACTCACAAACGTAATGCAGTTTGTTTGGGAGAAACCAGCTCTCTGATTAAAGTCCGAGATCCTTGTAAGTTTTCGTATTTCCTCCCCTGCGACCCAGACTGAAGGATTGCAAGGGTCAGAGAGGGGACACCCCAACCCTGCAGGACCTTCTCTTTTTCTAGTGAAGGCTGCCGGCCCCTTCTCGTCCCCCACCCCCACCCCAGGTGGGAGGGAATGGTGTTCCCATGGAGGAAGCAAACCACTCTCCTTTCTCTGTCCTGGGGCTTTCTCAAGCCAAGCATATCCTTACTCACCAGCATCTGCGTCTGTTTTAAAAATATGTCCAAAAAATAACTCTACTCTCCTTGATTGTGGGTCAACTCACTTCTACTGAGTAGAATACAGCCAAACTGAGGTGTGTGGTTTCCAAGATTAGAATGGGGGAAGACAGACTTCTGTGCCAGGTGGGACCTAGGCAGGGGTCAGTGTTGGAGAAGCCTGCCATGCTGGGGGCTGCTCTGTAGGAAGGCCCACATAGCAAGGAACCAGGGGGAGCTCTGCCAGTAGCCAGTGAGGATCCGCGGCCCCCAACCCAACAGCCGGCCCAGAATGGATCCTGACAGTGGCCACGCAGGCCAGCATGGAAGCAGGTCCTGTCCCGGTCAAGGCTGAGATGAGACAACAGTCCTGGTTGATGGACTGCAATTCAGTCGTCCAGCTAAGCTCCTTCTGGTTTCTGACCCCCACAAAGGATGAGATAGTAAGTGTCTGTGTTTGAAGCTGCTAAGGTTTGGGGTGCGTGGCACATAGCAGTGGGTAACTTAGGCGGCGTCCTTCATCCGCGTCTTCCTTAAAACAGCAACAGCGCAGGTGCTGTGCCCCTGCTCTCCCAGGGACACGGAGAAACGTCTTCCCAGGAAGACTTAGCATGCACCCGACGGTGTCACACTGCCCCAGAGGGCTGCCAGAGCTCCAGCCCGCTCTCCGTGGTCTCGGGCAGGGCAAGGCACAGCAGCACCAGCCCAGCGGGAAGATGCTGGCTGGAGGGCTGCCTAGGCCGTGTGGTTAGGGGCGCAGCCTTTGTTCCAGCACAGAGGGCAGCGTTTTTAATGGTTTTAATGACCTGAACCAGGATATGAGTAGAAACAAATTTGTTTACTTCAACATACTGTTTCAGTTGTAGGGTCTTTCCTTTCTCTTTTAACTCTTCTGTTTTCTGCTGTCCTGTTCATGCCTCCAAGGAAAGAGAAGCTATGTCCTCCTAAAGGGACATCCTACTGCCTAACGTGTGTAAGGAAACCGTGGCAGTGGACTGTTGGTCCCGTAAGACGAGCTTACTTGTGGAGCTGCTGGAGGAACCATTTCCTTCCAGGCCTTGGGGCTGGGGTGTTACCCGTGGACCAAGGACATTCACTGGTTCAGGTGGCTGTGGATTTCAGTATAGCGTGAGTTGGAGACTGTGTGGCCCCCAGCAACGTGGAGATCTAGCTCTTGTGGTCTTGACGATGAAGTGGCCCGGTTGTCGATAAGGAGCTCCTGGATATTGGGTTAACGGATGAAGCCCTTCACCTGGAATCAGGACATCAGCTAGGAAATTAGGAGCTCAGAGAAGGTGTCTGTGAAGATGGATAGACTGAGCCCATCTCAAGAGGACGTGAAATAGTGCTTGATACTGAGAACAAGCCAGCTACATTGGCCTAAATCTGTGATTTATAAACTTGACTGTAAGCATTTCATCCTGGTGTTTGTTTCTCTGTCTCCAATAAAAACTGTATCAGTTCCCCGTTTTTTTTTTTAGTTATCATACATTATGAGTGAGACTTTAAAACCCAAGAACGTATGGGTCAGGTATGGTTTCCCCCACAGCGTGATCTCCAGCATCTATCTCTGTGATTAATTCATAGTAAGAGCCATACAAGTACTTAGAGCATGGACTAATCTTGGTGTTTCCAGGTCAGTGAGAAGAATGGAAGGAAGTTGTCTGAGTTAAGGGTCCGGGTTTCAAACAAAAGCCACCATATCGACTCGTGGCTGTCCACCTCTACTTAACTATTCCGTGCAATAAACCGCCCCAAACTCAGTTTGTGAAACAATAAACATTTAGTACATCAATCTGTGGGTAGGTGATTTGGGTTTAGGGATTTTTTTTTTTTTTTAATCTCAACTAGGTGATTAACAGCAAGTCAGCTACTTTGGAGGCAATAATATCATCTGGGCCAGAAATGGGGTGATGGGAATTAACACATTTTTAAATTCTTGTCTTGTTTGTATAATTTTAGGTTGGTCTAAATCAATCTTGATTTCTCACTTTTGATTCTAAAACTCCTTTCATTGTAATATATAACATCAAAAATCCCCTGAGTTTCAAAATAATTTTTCACAGCATATTTTTGCATAATATTAAATAAACAAGTTATTTTCCATAATATATGTTACTTTAGATCAATATGTTACAACTAAAGCTTACACTGTAAGTTCATTTTATCAAAGTCTTTAATATCCATTAATATATATCTAAAAAGAAAAATCTCACTTATCTACATTTAATAAGTGCTCCATATTATTGAATTAACTTTAAAATTATTATGAAAGAAAGAACATAATTTATGGACAGATTCACAATGACATTTTATATACTACATTTCATTCAGGGATAAAAATAGAT